CAATTTTGCCTACTTCCTCGGACACAACCAATATTTTATTCCACTCCAAAAATACAAGTGAAATAATACTAAAGAGAGAAGATACAAATGCTTTAAGAAGATAAGAAGGCAAATGAGAGGTGTATTTAAATCCTAAACATTAGGCCTCCTTTTATAGGGTGAAATTCCCACCCAATTCACTCCCCAACCGATGTGGGATAATTTTGACACTCAACAAAAACAACATAAGCTAACTAGTTTTTGGACTAGTAATTGAAAAATAGTTGTCTTTGCAGAGTCATTGAAAAATAGTCACTATTTTACGCGGAGATAAACTCTGGACAAAAATAATCTAGCTGAAACACGAAAAGTTCCAGCGTAATATGTTAGATTATGGAGCTCATGCTTATAAACCTACAACATATTATGTTGGAACTCCAACACATTGTGAAATTCAGCATATTATGCTGAAATCTCATATGTAAAAAATTCGAACTCCAGCATATTATGCTGGAATTTTTCCAAAATTTTAAGTTTGTTTTTGTTCAGATTTTATTTTTACATGAAAAAGGGACTAACTTTCAATTATTTTTGAAATTACAGCTAATTTTCAATTAAAATTAGCAATTATAAATCAGGCTATTTCTAATTTTTCCGCAATTCTTTTTTAGGATTGCACAATAAGTTCAATAGCAAAAGAAGGAACACGTGGAGTTGGAGGATCAATCACAGCACAAGGAAAGAATTCAGAGACAGAGAAATCTGGATTTTCATTTGTGAATTGCAGTATTATTGGCACTGGAAAAGTGTGGCTTGGCCGAGCTTGGGGCGCTTTTGCTACTGTTGTCTTCTCCAACACTTATATGTCTGATGTGGTTTCCTCTGATGGCTGGAATGATTGGAGAGATCCTACTAAAGACCAGTAAGTGGAGACTTTAACTTTTCCAATTCTAATTTCACGCTCACTCGGGTTCAGGAAAGGGCCGCACCCGCGAGGGATATGATATAGACAACCTACCCTAATGTAAGTATTAGTAGTTGCTTTCACGATTCGAACCCGTGATTTATAGTCACACGATAACTTTACTGTTTCCCCGAATATACAAAAAATTGATTTAGGATTTATGAAATTATGGTGTGTTTGGTACGATAGTAGTCATTTTCTAGAATTTTTTTGAAAATACTTTTCATTTAGAGATCCAATTGAAATTTCTGATATAACAGTAAATACAAGACTTGAATTATATGAGCCAGACGTTTTGCTTTTACTGTTATTTTCTATAATTTATTTGATGAGTGGATATATAACTTCCGATATAACAGTAAAAGCAAGACTATTAGGTGAATCGACTCATTAATTCCCGTCGAAATAGGATGGATTAATGCAAAATCTTCAATTATCTCTTAATCCTCGTCAATGTATACGTTTTGCAGGACAGTATTCTTTGGGGAGTACGAGTGTTATGGGGCAGGAGCCAACTACACATTTAGGGTACCCTACTCAAAGCAGTTGAAGCAGAATGAGGCAGCACTTTACATGGATGTTTCATTTATAGATGGACAGGAATGGCTTCTTAATATGAAGTAAACACTATATTCACTAACATAGGCTCAAAAATTAAGAGTTTAAAGAAAATTTACTGATTAATGTATTTTAATTTGCTAGTCGGTCCTGATTTGTTTGGAATTGAGGTGTAGCTGTTGTTGTAAATATGTTGCTAGTATATTAAGGGCAACACAATGCACAAAACATCTCGCATTCACGTAGGATCCGGGGAAGGGCCGCACCCCAAAAGATATGATATAGATAGCCTACCCTAATCTTATGAATATATACGAATGCATTTTCTCTTATGTTAGAAATCATAATATATTTGTCCTACATCAGTTGTGTTAAAAATTTCAATATGCAAATCCTTCTGAAATACATCTATCTAGTCTAATTATCCTTCTCACCTATTCGTTAACTTAATTAAAAAAAACTATAATTAATGGGATCTTACCATCTATTCATTGTACTTTGAAATTAGATTAAAATTTTTATAAGTGCCTAACCATTTTATACTATATAACAAATGTAGACATTAACTATAACAACAATTTAAAGCTAGCCCATGCTTAATTCTCCACCTTCCAAAATTCAACATATGCCACCTCTTTACATCAAACACACACTGTAAAATTATTGATAATAATTTCCTTTGGTAAAACATTTGTTATAGAAAGTACTTAGCTTTTATGGAAAAAGAATTTGGGGTATTATCACTTTTAGTCCGCGCCAAAAACTATTTATATTTAGTAGCCGAAAAAGTATATAAAACCTGTATAATTTTTGTATATAACATACAGAATGTGTATATATATAAAAAATATACATATTTTATACATTTGCTATTATTTTTACAGCGGCTATACAACGTCATTTTTTCAAAGAATTTTCCGTCCAAAAAAACACAAACCCGATAAAAATTCGGGGCATTTGCATCTATACCCGCTTTTTGGGTCACGTTTTAACTTGTGCCTGCTTTGCAAAAAAAACTGCAAGCATACCCACGTTTTTGCGTAACTTCAGCATACGAGGTTGAAGTAACAAAGACAATCACGCAAAACTTCAGCATTCTTGTAGACGGGACTGAAGTAGCAAGTGTGCTGAACCAAGTGTGTTGAAGTTTTTGTTTTGTAACTGGCGAACTTCAGCTCTAGAGCTGAAGTTTTTGTTTTGTAACTGACGAACTCCAGCTCTAGAGCTAAAGTTTTTGTTTTGTAACTGGGGAACTTCAGCTCTAGAGCTGAAGTTTTTGTTTTTGTAATTGGGGAACTTCAGTTCTAGAGCTGAAGTTTTTGTTTTGTAACTGACGAACTCCAGCTCTAGAGCTAAAGTTTTTGTTTTGTAACTGGGGAACTTCAGCTCTAGAGCTGAAGTTTTGGTTTGTAACTGACGAACTTCAGCTCTCTAGAGCTGAAGTTTTTGTTTGTAACTGGCGAATTTCAGCTTTCTTAGAATTGAACTTCAGCCTACTACATTGTGAATGCTCCATATATCTTCTCAGCTTGTTGGAAGGTTTGTCTCTTATTTAGCTAATTTTAAAGCAAAGATAGATTGTCTTTGTTGGAATATCTGGAGCAACCAAAGAGAAACTGATCTTCAAGAGTGAGGACTAAAACGATGAGGATAGCCCCATCTCCGAGGTGTCAACCTCAAGTAATTTTCTACGGTACTGTTTTTTGTCCATCGACAAGGACATGCATGTACTTTGCTAGATGTTAACCATCACATACCCCTTTTGCAGGATCACTTTCTAATGTTTGCCACAAGAAGTAACAGTACCAAAAAAACTAAATTCTTTAATCTATTGTAACATATGAATTCATTAGGTTGTCAAGCCTCTGCTGGAGGAGAAGACAAGAAAAAAGATGAAAAGCTTTGAATTTTTTTTAATGGAACTATCGGATTGAGGGCGAATATAACTTTGAGGAGGAGAAAGGGGGCTGAAGTTATTTAAAAAGTGGATACAAGTTAAAACTTTTAAAAAAATGGGTATAGGTTAAATGAGGGCGACCAAATAAGGCGCCCCATGCAATTTTTACTAAAAATTCAAGACTTAGACAAGACAAGTCACACTGAATAAGCCCAATAAAAGGCTCAAATTTGAAAAACAAGGTTTAGCCCAATGCTTCTGTACCCAAAGAAATGTAAATGTAGAAAAATGAACCTAAAAAACCGCCACGCTTAAACAAAAAATACTATACAGATGTATAATATATGTATAATTAGTGTAAATCTATGTGTACCAACTAGAAAAATTAAACAGTAAACCCGTCGAGTCCGAATGTAAGAGAATGACTTATCAACGTTGGGCCCAAGTGTGTTGCTCTGCGCTATATTTCAAACCGATACTCTTTCAAAGAATCCGCTCAAGAAAAATGACACAAATATAAAATTATTTTTGCTTAATAATAGTATCGATATTCATATACTTAAAGGGTCATTTAATTTAAGGTATATGGTAAATAATTCTGGTATAAAATTCAATACATATTAAGTTTGCAACATATAACTCGGGTCTCGTCATTAATAATATAATCTCTGCATAACTAATAGTACATAGTTTCTGATATAAAACTCGGAATAACTAATGTAATGCTATGACCCCCTAATTGTTCACTAGCTGCATGACATCTTGAATCAATAACTTGATATTCAAATAAGAAGATCCCCTTTCTTTCATTGCCTCCTTTGACATTATTGCTAATTCCTTTGCTCTTTTTCTTCTTTCTTCACTTTCTAATCCTTCATTCATTAGTTGATTTATTGCTTTCTTGACTTCCTCTTTCTTAACCAAAACCTTATTCTTCTCTTCAATCCCAACTCGAATTCCAATCTGTAAAACATTCACAATTAACTTCTCATTGTAAAATTGATCAGCGAACATTGGAAAAGTAATCATCGGTATGCCATAAGTAATTCCTTCTAAAGTCGAATTCCATTCACAATGCGTTAAGAATCCTCCGATCGACGGATGAGATAAGATCATAAGTTGTGGTGCCCAACCTTTAATAATTATGCCTCTTCCTTTTACCTTCTCTTCAAAATTTTCATCACTTAGCCATTTCTCAACTTCTGATGAAACATTTAATCCTCTAATTATCCATATAAAAGGCACATTTGATGATTCCAACCCTAATCCAATTTCTTTTATTTGCAAGAATGACATGTGACAAAGGCTACCAAATGAAACATAAACCACAGATTTTGGCTTCATTGAATTAAGCCAAGTCAAATAACTATGCTCCTTATTGATAGAACTCTCGTTACTTCTGTGCATTATCTCATCCATTTTTTTGTTGCATAATGATACTGGACCAATACAAAAAACATTTTTCATGATTTTCTTGTATTCATCAATGTACAAGGGCTCCAATTCGTCGAATGTATTAATCAACGTACCTCGTACCTCGTAGCTCCAATACTGGACCATTTAATTTGGTGTACAACACTTTGCACATCATCAGATTGCTTTGTTGTAGTCTCATTAGGTAACTCAGAATTTCTAGTTCCAGTTTCTTGAGAACAAAGGAGAGCAAAACAAGAAATTGTTTGAAAAACATACCTTGGTATCTTGAATTTGTCAGCTATTTCTTGAGTCCAATAAAGACCACCAGTTGAAATGATACAACTTGGTTTTGTTTCCATTTTTTGAATTATTTCTTCTAGTGGTTGTTTTAATGTCTCACAAGCTAAAAAAAATTCTTTGTATAAATTTGTAGAAGGAAGTGAATCCATATTTTCACATCCCTTAGGTAAACCAAGTTCTTCACATGGAAATTGAAGGGAAATGAGTTGGATTTTGAGGTTAAAATTTAAAGATTGAGTGATTAATGATTTGTACCTTTGAGCATTGAGGGGTGTGGTGATAATTGAGACATTAATTCCATATTGGGCTAATAATTTTGCAAAATCAGTTAAAGGTATTATATGGCTTTGGGACATTAGAGGAATCAATAGGAAATGGAGTTGTTTATCTTTGGAAATCATTGTGAATAATAAAGCTTAATTTGCATATAATGGTCTAAGTAATGTTTACTTTAGTAACTCTCATGGGTGACATTTATAGAAAAATGAATTGGATTCTGAATTAGAATGGTTTAATTACTTACCAAAAATTCACGAGATTTATAGAATATGAAATCGAATTCTGATTATAGTAGTATGATCTGTACTATCAATTGAGAAAGGTTATAATTAGCTTACCAAAATCTGATGTTTTAGTTTTTAGATATGTTAATTAGTTACACAAAAGAATGATTTCCAAGGTAAGTACTTAAAGACTTACTAAATTTAATGGGTTTCCACACGAAACCAACTTTCTATTGTGATAAATTAAATGAAGCCTAAGCGGTCACCACATTTTGTTGATGTTGGTTGAGGAGTTTGATGTATTGAGAAGAGTGTCAAGCTAATAGAAGGAAAAAATATTTAAAAAAGAAAAGCAATAAATTATTAGACAAGATTTATATGATTTGACAATTTTTGTCTACTCCACGGCCACATAAAGGATAACTATTTATTAATTGAAGAGAAAAGAGAAGTTGAGAGATGATCTGCAAATGAAAATGCAGACCCTTTTTATAGGCATTTGGATGCCCTGCCGATTTAAGCACTTACGCTATAGGAAAAGAATTCAATCTGCCGACGTAAGCACTTACGTCATAAGAAAAAAAATTCAAAGATGAATTCTTCCGCCTATTATTTTTCTTCTCTCTTTGACTTTTCTTTCTTTTGTTTTGTCTACTTTTCTTTCTTTCACGTGCAACAATAGGTTTTCTCCTATCAATCTCCCCCTCAAACCTATGTTACATCAAGAAAGAAATTTAAAAAGGATTTGCTATTCTCTGTTGGCGCCTTCACGCTATCAGTTTTGAGGGCTAATTGAGGCAGTGCACATCCTCAATTTGTCAACACCTATAACTTTGGTCAACATGTCTGACGGGTTCTTTGATCCTGGTATCTTCTGCAGGGAAAGAGTTCCTTCACTTATCAGCTCTCGGATATGATGATATCTCAATGGGATGTGCTTTGATCTTGCATAAAATACTGGATTCTTTGCAAGATGAGTTGCACTCTGGCTATCGCTGAAAAGCTCACAATTGTCCTGCTCTTTAAGAAAATTCTTGAGCCAAAAAATCTCTTTTTCAGCTTCTGAGATTGCCATGTACTCTACTTCAGTGGTAGATAGAGCAATACTTTTCTGAAGTCTGGACATCTAGCTAATAACAGTACCACCCAAGGTGAACACGTAGCATGTGATACTTTTTCGATTATCCAGATCGCCGCCTAAATTTGCATCAGCAAAATCTTGTAAGATAATATTGTTCTTTTTAAAACAAAGTACCATACCTGAGGTGCCTTTCAAATATCGTAATATCTATTTTATAGCTTTCCAATGCTCCTTTCCTGGATATTACATGTATCTACTGACAACTCCAACTGCATGGGCTATGTCAGGTCTAATACAAACCATATCATACATCAAACTTCCTATTGCTGAGGCATATGAAACTTTGGTCATGTACTTCCTTTCTTCATCTGTCTTTGGTGATTGGTTCTTTGACAGATTAAGATGGCTTCCGAGTGGAGTGTTTCTGGTCTTTGCATCATGAAGACTAAACTTATGTAGTACCTTCTAAATGTATTTTTCTTGAGGCAACTTTAAACTTACGACCTGTTTCTGCTAATCCCCATCCCAAGAATTTGCTTAGTTGGTCCTAAGTCTTTCATTTCAAACTCATCCGCTAGTTTATCACGACCCAAAATTCAACTAGTCGTGATGGAACCTAACCCCAACCCGCTAGGTAGACTAATTAAAAATATCCAATTCCAATGAAATTAAATAAATAATTAAATAGAAAAGATTATATGAATCTTATACTTTCCCCAAGGATTGGTAGTACAAATCATAAGCTTCTAAGAATAGAGTTTACAAAGCTGGTGTGAAATAAATACATCATCCCGTCTGAAAAGTACATAAACAGAGTTTTATGATTCTAAGGCTACCATGAACAAGAGACAGCTACAACCGAAACACAGGTACATCTTCAAATCTAGCTCCCATCGGACACAACAACATCATCAGTCAACATATACACGCAAGGTACAAAAGTGTAGTATGAGTACAACTAACCCCATGTACTCAATAAGTAACAAACCTAACCTTAGATTGAAAGTAGTGACGAGCTGGAATAAAGGTCGGGTCCAACACCAATAACCAACAACAGTTCATAACCACGCAAAGCAAGTAATGAAAGAAGAAACTCAGAGATAAAATGCTCAACTTTCTCATAGTTTTCCGAAAAATAGTTCTGCTTTTCAAGTATATCAGTGAAAAATCCAAATCATTTATCAAAATCATCGAAAATACAAGTACGTTCGAAAATTGTGATTTTTCCCCAAAAATCCTTTCAACAATGAATGAGATATTTCATTTTTCTTTCCGGATAGCAAGTGTAAAATACCTCTCTATGCCCATATATCAATACGTGTGAGAAGTCATGAATGACGTGATACCATACAACATGAGAAAAATACATCTTTATACCTGTACGTCACGTGTGCATGTTAATGCCATGTATCTCAGAGATAAATCATGTTCTCACACTCTCAGAGTACCCAATCTCACTATCTCACACTTTCTCTCATCATGCTCAATCACTCAGTACTGTATATGGCCAATCCGGCCCAGGGAAGATCTATCCCGAAATATATATATCAACTGACCAATAATCACTCAGTATTGAGTAGGGCCCAATCCAGCTCGTGGGGAAGATCCATCCCCAGGTATTTAAATGGTTCGAACAAAATCCATGTCCAGGGAAGATCCATCCCTCAATATAATCTACCGCGCTCACTAGGGGTGTGTGCAGACTCTGGAGGGGTTCCTTCAGCCCAAGCGCTATCATAAATCAGTATAACCGCTGCGGCGCACAACCCAATCCCATATATATAATCAATATAACATGCTGCGACGTGAAGCCCGATCCCATAATATCACTTACACTCAGGCCATCGGCCTCACTCAGTTATCAATATCTCCAGTCTCTCGGGCTCACAATGCCATGAAACTAGCCCAAAATGATGATATGATATGCCAATAAATGATAACAGAGACTGAGATATGATATTCATATGAATGCGTATGACTGAGTATATAAAGCAATGAAAGCAGATAACTCAACAGCAGAAATGACCTTAATGGGCCCCAACAGGATAAGTATGTAGCCTAGACATAGTTTCTAACATGGATCACAGCTCAATAGCTCAAATACGTAGAACTTTTATGGTTACAGATAAGATCAGGTAATTACACAATATCATAGAAATAATGGAGTCTCAATTCATACGGTGCACGCCCATATGCCTGTCACCTAGCATGTGCGTCACCTCAACACCAATCACATAACATGTAATTCAGGATTTTATACCTTAAACACTAAGTTTAGAAGTGTTACTTACCTTGAACAAGCCAATTCCAATACCGAGCAAGCCAAGGGATGCTCCAAAAATGGCATCATGCGCGTACCGACCTCCGAATGGCTCAAAACTAGCCAAAAACAACTCAAATTCATCAAATAAAGCCCAAGAAAACAATTCCAAATGATAAAGATTGAATCCTTAATCAAAACCCAAAACCGTCCAAAAGTCACACCCAAGCCTCGGAACCAGATAAAACTCACAAAATTCGAAAACCCATTCAATTAGGAGTCCAACCATACTAGTTTCACTCAAATCCGACTCAAAATCATTGTTCACAACTCAAAAATTCACATTATGAAACTTTAGCCCCCCCCCCAATTTCCTCTTTAAATTCATCAACCAATTGCTAAAAATGAAGATGGATTCATAAAATGTAATCAAAACCGAGTGTGGAATACTTACCCCAATCCTTATGATGAAAATTGCTCCAAAAATTGCTCCATTCCGAAGTCCATATTTCAATATGTGATAAAAATGACCAACCGTCGAACTTATAACATTCTGCCCAATGATTCCGCATTAGCGGTCAAGTAGCTGTATCTGCGACCTTCGCTTTTGCGAGAAAACTTAGCTTCTGCAAAATTGGCCTTGCCCAGCAACCACCGCATATGCGGTATCAAATTCCGCTTGTACGAAGACTTTCGCACCTGCACTTCCAATTCCTTACACCTGCTCATCCGCACCTGCGCTCTTTTCTCTGCTTCTATGACCTTCCTCACCGAGCCTCTTCTCACTTCTACGATTTCTCTAACACTTCTGCGACTATCGCACCTACGCAAACCAGCCGCATGTGTGATTACACCAGATCTGCCACCGATAACTTGGCAAAAAATGATCCAAACAAATCTGAACCTCATCCGAAACTCACTCGAGACACTTAGGACCCCGTCCAAGTATACCGACAAGTCCCATAACATAACATGGACCTACTCGAGGCCTCATTATCATACCTAATAACATCAAAATGACGAATCGCACCTCAATTCGAACCTGGAGATCTTTGAACTTCAAACTTCCACAACCGATGCCGAAACCTAACAAATCACGTCCGATTGACCTCAAATTTTACAGAAGTCACATTTGACATTATGGACCTGGTCCAACTTTCAGAATCGGAATCTGACCCCGATATCAAAAAGTCCACTCCCTGTCAAACTTTTCAA